CTGGCTTGGTCACTTGCTTCGTGTGCTCGGTGAGCTCAGTGAGCCCCGACTGGGTGAGTGGACCTTGGTTTTCCCTCCAGGCCTGCGGAGTTGAACCAGATCCTCATTGAGTGGCTGGATGCTGAAGTCAAGCACCTGCCGGTGGTCTCCAAGATGTAGCCGGTGGCTCATTCCCTGCAGTGCTCACACTCTGCATGGGACTGAAGGAGGGCTCTTGTCCGGATGTGGCCTTCACTTCACCTCTTGTAACCCGCAGCATTGCTCTCAAGGGGTTGGACAAAATGGTTCTCTTGAAGTCCTTCAAAGACGCTGTAATTTTAGATCTAGGAGGAATCGTGTGTGATTAGTACTCTGGGTATAATTGCATCTTCCACTGAGCTCTCACAACCATTAGTGCCCTGACAGGACAGAGCGGGGACAGCCCAGCGTGATTTGTCTTTGACCAGTGTTTTGCAAGAAAATTTGCAGTTCATTTTGAAGCACCTGAGCAGAGATTAGGAGCCTTTGTTCAGTAGAGCTTAGACTAGGGAGCTCCTGCTCTTTGTGTCCGTGGAGCATCACGGCGGTAGTTCTGAGAAGCTGGCACAGCTCTGTGCATGCCCTGTCTGCCCTTGCGCTGCTCTGCGGGCTTCTGCCAGGATGTGGTGGTCTGTGGCAGCCATCAAGGTCGCCCGGGCCCCTCCTCCCTGCTCCCCCACGGGCTTTGCTCCTGTCCTGATGCATAATTTGTGCACTTGAAGTGTGTGGTGGGACTGAGACTCTAAGTGGATGTTCAGATGCCCTGTGTGGCGAGCATGCGCCGCCTCTGGGGTTCGGTGCTAGTCTCACTCTGCCTTCTCTTTTAATGGGTCTTATTTGGGCAACTGGGTCTTGAAGCAAGCTAAATTAGGGACACTTAGGGACGGCAACGCAGAGCCAGGAGCTAAGAATAAACTGTATTCGTGGGTGACTTGAAGTCTCGCACTCCTCATTTGGCTAGAACAGCAGTTCTTAACCTTGCAGCACTGATTTGCCCGGAGTTGTAGATAAGCACACCCTGGGTGGCTATCCCAAGAGAAATTCATACTTGGATTAAAAGGAGACCTTTTAATAAATAAAGAGCCCCTAACTATGGATGTTTCTGCCCTGAATAAATAACTTTCTGAAAGCAGATCATCAGTTCATAAGGCCTGGTATCTGTGAATTGATCAGTGATCAGAACATGGGCTATAATTAAAGGAAGATTCCCCTAGCCAATGGCTAACAGTGCGGTGGTCACGATGCAGAAATGTGCAGGGGAGAGACCACTGCACCCCTGGATGGATTTGAGCTGCACGTACACCCTTCGTGAAGGACTCGGCACTCTCCAGTGCCCACACTGCCAACTTAGCAGAATGGGGTGTGTGTGTGTGCGCGCGCACAAAGAGGTTACAGTCCCCTAAGTCAGGTTGAGCACACTGCTGGCGTGGCTGCCACAAGTACAGCACAAACTCGCTCTGCCTTCTGGGAACCTCCTGGATCTGAACGGGTCCCGGTGCTGGTGAGTCTCGCTCTGACTCCTGCAGTCCTCCTTCCTCTGCCCTGCTTTGGGCACCAGGGTTCTGTAGTCGCTTCTAACTGTACCCCCCCCCCACACAGGGCTGGGTCGGGAGCGCTGCAGGTCCGATCCTCCCAACTGCCTCCCAGATACGGCACCGGCACGCTGGGATCCTCTGGGATCTGCTCGGATTCTGGCTCCACCACTGCCTGATTCCCACTGCAGCATGGCCATCCTTGTACCCTGCAAATACCCCATGGGCCCTCCCTGGCCCTTCAGGGCTCTGCTTCCTTTCGTCCGGAGTCTCTCAGCTGCTACTACCCCTGTTCCTCCAGCACAGGGCGTTCACACCCAGCCCTCTGGCTGCCTGTGGAGGAAGCGTCTCCCCGGGGATGTGCTCAGTCAACGTGAGCATTCACTGGCCAGGGAACAAGGGCATGTGTGTTCCTGTGTGTGAAGAAGGCTAAGACAGAAATGTTAACCAGATCTGACATGTGCCACCTCCGATCCTTCCGGGAACCAGATAACATGCCCCAGGTCATTTGCCAGTACAATCCGAGGCTCTGATTCCAAAGGCTGAGCTCTTTCCATCAAAAGTCTCCGCTTTAAATATGGAGGTGGACAAGCGGAGTTGGACATCTCATCTGCTGCTTCCTTGCTACGTGACTTTGAGAAAGGGCGCTGTGCTTCATTCAGTGCCCTCGCCTATACCATTAACAGGAGCGAATGCTCAGGGGTTATTGGTGTTAAATATGTTAATATATGCAGAGTTTTAGAGGCATGCCAAGAGAAGGAAGGGTTGCAGAAGGACTAGCTGAGGTATTTCTAGCTTGTCCTGGGACAAACCCAGAAGGGCTTTAAATTTCGAGCCATGCCTCTGTCGTCACCATCTCTGTCTGTTAAAAGTCTCGTTTGAAAGGCAAATACAGGACCTAAGGGAACAGCTACATGCCCCAGCTAGCATTGTTTTGCTAGCTGAATATGTCTAAATTCTTTTGTAAGAGAAGAATCTTCAAACATTCTGCATTAGGAGCATAAATAGGGAAATCTATTTTCTGTTGGCTCAAGTTCAAATATTCTGACGATTCCTTCAAGCCATCAAAAATGCCTCCTAAAACCTACTCTTCCGGCAACCGAGAACCCAGTGGATCAATTCTGTATCATTGTAACAAAAGTAACCAGCCACACACCACTGAAGGTCCTGTGAGGTGCCAGGGGAGAAAAGATCTTTAGATTGTACAAGAAAATACTAAAATTGGAGTCAGAGTTTTGGGTGGAGGGCCCACCCCAGGAATTCCACATGTCCAATCTGGCCCTTCAGCCCATCGTGCCAAATAACCAGCTGAGAACAAGCAGAGAAAGGCTTACTGCCTGGCCAAGACTGTCTGGGAAGGGACAAAATAACCATGTCAGCCCAGCTTTGGGGTACAGACATACACGGCAAGATTAAATAATTTTAGTTAGGGTATATTCGTGCTCACTAGACAGTCCTAGTCAAAGTATGGTCTGTTTGGTCATGATCTCAGACCTGATTTTGAGAGTGGTTCTGGAGAACTAGTAACCTCACCTGAGAAGAGCAACTACTCAGGACTAGCAAGTCACTCTTGTTGTGGCAGGGAGGGGGGTAAGGGGGCTCTAACCTCTAGAGGCTCTATTTTTTTTTGCTAGTCCTGGGGCTTGAACTCAGGGCCTGGGTACTGTCCCTGAGCTGCTTTTGCTCAAGGCGAGCACTCTACCACTTGAGCCACTTCTGGCTTTTTCTGTTTCTGTGGTACTGAGGAATCGAACCCAGGACTTCATACATGCTAGGCAAGCACTCTACCACTAAGCCACCTTCCCAGCCCTGCTCTTTCTTTACTCGAGGGCAGGTTTACTCCCTTCCACGTACAGTCACTACCACTAGTCCTGTCCTTCCTGGACTCCCAGGTGATGGCAAAGGGACCCAGAGAGCAATGGCAGGTATTCATGTCATGTTCACTTGTTGGTTCACACGATGAAGCTCATCCATCTACGGTGTCTAATGTTAGATATGGCTAGAGAATGTACTCTGAAGACCGGTGAGCTTCTTTGAACCAATACAATTAGATTCTCATAAAAGAGGGGAAAGGGAGTCCATAAAATTAAAACTACTAGCTGGGCTCTGGTGGCTTAAGCCTGTAATTCCGGCTACTCAGGAGGCTGAGATCTAAGGATCTCAGTTTGAAGCCAGCCCAGACAGGAAAGTCCATGAGACTCTTATCTCCAACAAAACTACTAAAAAAGGAAGAAAAGATAATAAAGGAAAGAAAGCCAGAAGTGGTGTTGTGGCTCAAGTGGTAGAACGCTAGCCTTGAGCAACAGAAGCTTGGGGACAGGGCCCAGGCCCTGAGTCCAAACCCCAGGACTGGCACACACACACACACACACACAACATTAAAACTACTTTCCCCCTAAAAGCAATAAAATAAACAACAAAAACACCCAAACCACTGCAGCTAGCCAAGAACCACCCTATTTCATCACAATGGGGAAAATAAAGGCCACTGCTTTTAAACATTTGGCAACCATCTAGAGGATACTTCTCACCTCTGCTCACACCTTACCACAGGAATCAGGCCAAGACATAGACTTGCTAATGTGCCAAGGACGGGAGTCGTGTGGGCTTTTGTGCTGCAGTGTTTCCTTCCACGAGTGAGTCCACTAAATGCCAACAAAGAGGAAGCAGGAGGGATGCGCCTTGCTGATCAGATCGACTAGCCATTCCTGGTGGCACGTGGCCTGGTCCACCCCCTCTCTGTTTCCGTGGCTTGGCCTCCTTGGTCTCCCGGCTCTGTGGCCTCATTTGCTCATGGATGGTCGGGATTAGAAGCACTGAAGAAGACCTGGATCCACAGAGTCGGGCAGGGTCGCAGGGCTGGCGGCCACGAGCCTCTCAGAATATCTAGACCCATTCTTCCCAACTTGTCTGCTTTAGTTTGGGTCCTGAAACCTACTGCACATGCTGCCGTTGAGTATTGTGCTGAAAGGAAGAGTGGAGTTTAAAAGTCCCCCCTCAATAACCACAGGAAATACAAGGTTCTACTTGGCTGTCAGGGCCGGGCTGTGCCAGCCCATGCTGGGCTCTCCCGATGCTCTGTGGGGAGCCCAGTCATCTTGTCAAAGCCTGAGTTCCGCCTCTGTTCTCACCGCAGACTCTGCTCCTTTCATTGAATTTTAATATCGATGGTAAGAAGCTTATGAATATCTCCACACATTCAAAAGAACATGTCTGAATCTTGAAAGGTTAAAGTTTGAGGCAGTGACCACGTGTTGCTTGTTTCTGTCTAGCAAAGCACCACGTGGTGGTAATCAAAACACCTGGTTGTGTGCCTATATAAGACCTGCAAATGCTTAGCTCGGGGCTCTCCTGGGCTCTGCTGTGTCGGAGTGTAGGACGAGGCTGAGCTGCAGCCCATTTAAATAAAACAGCTGTAGAGTCTGACTCTCGGTGGTCTTCTTGGGGGGGGGGGCGGTCCTTTGACCTTGGCGTAACAATCTGACCGTGGTATGCTCAAACAGTTGTTAAAGGTGAAAACAAGTTCTCAAGTTTTGTTCATTCACTATATCCACAAAGGAAGTCTTACCAAGAATATGTGAAGCCGGGGGCAGGAGCTCACACCTGTCATCCTAGCTATTCAGGAGGCTGAGATCTGAAGATCATGGTTCAAAGCCAGCAGGGCAGGAAAGGCCTTGAGACTCTTATCTCCAGTTAATCACCAGAAAACCGGAAGTGGCTGCTGTGGCTCCTGTGGTAAGTGCCTGCCTTGAGCTGAGGAGCTGAGGGACAGTGCCCAGGCCCAGAGTTCAGGCCTGGCAACCACCACCACCAGGCTGGACGTGGGGGTCCCCAGGCTGGACCCCCATCCACAGGCCGGATTCCCCCACCCCTCCACAGCCCAGACTGCCCCCCCACCTGTCCCCAGGCCAGACCCCTGTCCACAGGCTGGACCCCCATCCCCCCAGGCTGGACCCCATCCCCAGGCTGGACACCCCCGTCCCCAGGCCGGACCCCTGTCCCCAGGCTGGACACCCCCGTCCCCAGGCCGGACCCCTGTCCACAGGTTGGAG